ACAATGCACATTGTGAGTCACGGGTGCCCCGATACACCACGACAAAATTTTGAGCTCTGTCACTTCAAGATGTCGTATTTATGAATCAAATTTTGGGGGTAGTGAAAAAGTGCACCTTTAAAGGGCGTCACCCTCATATGTATAAATCAAACACTTGACATGTGACGCATAAAATTTTTTCAGTTTGGACAAAACCGTTGTGTGTGTTGTGTGTGTGTTGTGGTGGGTGTGTGTGTGTGGTGTGTGTGGGTTTTTGTGTGGTGTGTGGGGTTTTGTGTGGTTTGTGTGTTTGTTTTTCGTGTGTGGTGTTTATGTGTGTGTTGTGTGTTTGTGGTTCGTGTATGTGTGTTTTGTGGGTGGGGTATGCTGGTGTTTGTGTTGTTGTGTTCGTGTGTTGGTGTTTGTGTGTGTGTTGTTGTGTTGGTGTGTATGTCTGTGGGTGTCTATGTCTGTTTTTTTGTCTGTGTACCTAATATCACAGGTCCTAAAATCCCCCCGGGATCTAAATCCCAGGTTCCAAATCCCTATCCCCCAACATCCCAGGTACCAAAATCCCATACCTAAATCCCTGGGACCAACCCCAGGGCCAACTCCTTTTACCCAACATCCCAGGACCTAACATCCCCGGTCCAACTCCCTAGTACCAAAATCCCCGGTACCCAACAACCCGGTACCTAAAACCAACCCAACATCCCCGGGACCTCATCTTTGGCGCGGCTACTGATGTGTTCAAAAAGAGAAAGACTGAGGGAAACCCCTCTCTCTCACCCCTCTCACCTCTCTTTCTCCTCCCAGTAATATTTTTTTTAGGCCTTTCAGGGCCCATATACATCCACGAAAGTGTCTTTTTTAAACTGAATTACCAACGTCGGTTTTGGAACGCTTTGTTTCCCCCGTCTTCTTTTATTTCCTATATCCATATTATTTCCCCATTATCCTCATATTCCCCCAATCTCCATTATTCCCTTTTATCCCTATTTATTCCCCCAATACCCTTATTCCCTATTATCTTCTATTCCCTATTATCCGTTATTTATTCACTATTATCCCCAATTTATTCCCTATTATCCCCTATTTACTTCCTATTATCCCCATTTATTCCTTATTATCCCCTATTTCCTATTATCCCCTATTACCTATTCCTTTCCTACTACCTGACATTATTTTTCTCTTTATTCTTTTTAAATAAAGCGAGGAAAGTCATGAAAAAATTCTTAATTCTCGGTGTCAAATGCATTAAAAATCGTCGACATAAATTCTCATATAAATTCCTGAAGCTGCAGGAAAAAAAAAGAAATCGAAAGGAGAGAAAATTCTCAAATAAATTCCCGTAGTTACAGGAAGGTAATTCTTTCCTAAATTCTCGGGCGACCATCGTGACCTTATTAAGTGCCTAAAATTCTTTTTGCAACAACGGGGAAAATAATGGATGAGAGAGAGAGGAGAGAGAGAGAGAGAGAGAAAGAGAGGGTATAGGGGGCACTACCATACCCGGAAAAAAAATTGTTGGATTCATCTTGTTTCTCTTTTCCCATCTCCCCACTATCGTATCAGTTTTTCCTCACTTTTATACCAATCTCAGAATATGAGAGAAGAAAGAGAGGAGAGAGAGAGAGGAGAGAGGAGAGAGAGAGAGAGAGAGATAATATGAGAATGACCCCTGTGGTGGACTTAATTCTGATTAAAATAAATTTTTAAAAAATTTAAAAATAATAATAAAAATATAAAATAATAATAAAAAATCCCACTCCCCCCCCCCCACCGAGTGGCATTAAGCCGCCATTAATCCAAACAATCCCATACCCCCCATCTGGGTTAAAAAACCCCATAACCCTCAAATCCCCCATAAATCCCCCTCGCAGCCTCCCGGGGCATCTTGGGTGCCATCTTAAGTGGAAAAATTCTTTTTTGGTCCGTTATCATTTCGTGGATCTTTAATGAGGGTGAATGATAAAAGATGAGTGGGCCGTGTTTACGTACGTTTTAGGCCATTTATGGGAGGGGGGTACACTGGGGTTTTTTACATTGGGCAGGGGATCTGTGGGAGGAAATGGACAGGGTTGTTTACTTGGGGAGGGGCCATCTAGTGGGGGGAAATGGGGCTGGGGGTTTACATTGGGCAGGGCCTCAATGGGGGAAATGGGACAGGGTTTTTTTACAGTGGGGGAAGGGCTAAGTAGGTCCCAATGAAGTAAGCCCCTTGGTAAATTTTTTGGGGGGGTTTTCCAGAAAATTTAAACATGTAAAATGTATGATAATTTCGTAAGTATTATGTGTAAATATATTAATAAACTTATTTTTGTTATCTAGGGGAAGAAACCCAAGTTTTTTTTATTATCTAGTGGGGAAAAACTGTACTGTTTTTTTATTATCTATTTAAAACTCTCTGTTTTGTTTAAATCTAGTGGGGAAGAACTCTACATTTTGTTTTTTATCTATTGGGGAAAAACCTTTCTAGTTTGTTTTTATCTTTGGTAAGAACCTACAGTTTTGTTTATAAACAGGGGAAGAACCCACAAATTTTGTTTATTATCTATGGGGAAAAACTCAAATTTTTGTTTATTTTTCTGTGGGAAAACTTACTATTTTGTTTATTATCTAGGGGAAGAACCCATGTTTTTTTTTATTATCTATGGGAAGAACTCTACTATTTTTTTTTATTATTATGGGGGGAACTCTATATTTTGTTTATTTTCTTGGGAAGAACCTACTAGTTTTTTATTTTTATCTAGTGGGAAAAACCCCTTTCTTTTTTGTTTATCTAGGGGAAAAATCTACTAGTTTTTTTTTTTATCTAGTGGGGAAAACTTCAGTTTTTTTAAAATAGGGGGAAGACTCTACAGTTTTTTATTATCTAGTGGGAAAAAACTCTACTATTTTGTTTATTATCTAGTGGGAAAAACTCTACTAGTTTTGTTTATTATCTAGTGGGAAGAACTCTACTAGTTTTGTTTATTATCTAGTGGGAAGAACTCTACTAGTTTTGTTTATTATCTAGTGGGAAGAACTCTACTAGTTTTGTTTATTATCTAGTGGGAAGAACTCTACTAGTTTTGTTTACTTACGTTTGTCCCATCCAGGGAGATAAATCCCTGAACGAATCTCATTGGACTTCCTACTCGTCTCTGCAACATTGCAAGCTCCTGGTGATCACAACACGAGAGGCCTAGAGCTATCATTCAACTCCCCTGTGGTTGTTTTACATCTTGTGTCGCTTTTGCTCGATTACTGCAAACAGAAGAAGCAAGGGAAGGTGACACCTCTGAGTGGAGTGTCACCTCTGAGTGGAGTGTCACCTCTGAGCGAGGTGTCACCTTAGGATTTAAGAACCACGTCAGTTCCCCTGTTTTCTAATGTTATTTCTCCCCTATTATCTACCTTGTTCATAATTACTAACCCATTTGATTGTTTCGTAAGGTGAAGTCCAGGATGGTTTGACTTCACGAATCTTCGATGACAATTGTGTTGTAGAGGGGTGTATATATCTCAGTGTATATACACTGAGGGGTGTATATATCTCAGTGTTTATACACTGAAGGATGTGTATATCTCAGTGTATATACATTGAGGGGTATGTGTATGTGCACCGAGGGATGTGTATATCTCAGTGTATATACACTGAGGGGTGTGTATATCTCAGTGTATATACACTGAGAGTTTACTCTGATCACTGAGGTTTTGAGGTATTCTTGACTGGTGGTAACATGGTAAACTGCGGGTTTAATGACCCTCGTGTGGAAGGTTTTTAAACCCCTGTAGCCGATCATGGTTACTGAGGTAAGAGTGGGAAGATGATGGAGAGAGAGAGAGAGAGAGAGAGGATGTGGGCGGTCAGATATTGAATGTTTTAACAGACCAAGTCATCTGCAAACAGCTGAGAGAGAGAGAGAGAGAGAGAGAGAGAGAGAGAGAGAGAGAGAGAGAGAGAGAGAGAGAGAGAGAGAGAGAGAGCAACAGCAGCTGACTCGGATGAATTATCGGAGAAGTGGCTGTCAGATTACAACCCCCAGTACATATATACACCACAGAAATTTGGAGAAAGAGAGAAAGAAAGGAAACCACAGATTAGATTTTGCCACCGAAGTGGCTAGTTTATTGTGCACCCCATATCCATCCTGTGGACGGTAGCGCGAGAGCATGTGGATACACAAAAGGCCTAGGAACTAGGCCCCAAAGGGTTAACAGGAATACATATGGATTTATATCTACATATCTATAGTTCACTTATCTGTTACAAGCAAATTTAGGAAATTTGCTTAGTATATCTGGTATCTTATTTTCATTAATAAGATATCTTGACATGTCACATAGGTTATTATACTGTCTGTCTCTGTATTCCTCAATAAGTGGACAATTAAGCACATAGTGTTCAAGAGAGTGACCATATGCCTGATCACATAATTTACATTTAGTTTGATCATCATCTGTGTGTCTCCCAAACTGCCAGAAGTACTTGTAACCAAGCCTAAGCCTGGCCACTACAACATCAGTCAGTACTTGTAACCAAGCCTAAGCCTGGCCACTACAACATCAGTCAGTACTTGTAACCAAGCCTAAGCCTGGCCACTACAACATCAGTCAGTACTTGTAACCAAGCCTAAGCCTGGCCACTACAACATCAGTCAGTACTTGTAACCAAGCCTAAGCCTGGCCACTACAACATCAGTCAGTACTTGTAACCAAGCCTAAGCCTGGCCACTACAACATCAGTCAGTACTTGTAACCAAGCCTAAGTCTGGCCACTACAACATCAGTTAGTACTTGTAACCAAGCCTAAGCCTGGCCACTACAACATCAGTCAGTACTTGTAACCAAGCCTAAGCCTGGCCACTACAACATCAGTCAGTACTTGTAACCAAGCCTAAGCCTGGCCACTACAACATCAGTCAGTCTGTTCACATTGCAAGTTGCTCCATAAACATACTTATCTACGTTCATGTTATCATAGTGGGTTATCACACAGGACAACAGTCCCACAGAATCAATCAAAAATTAACGAGATGAATCTCGCAGGAGAATCACTGGTGAAGCAACCCCATTATCGTCGTCTACCAGACATGTAAATACAAATGTTATTTAGGAATCTAGGAAGAGTTTATTAAATACAAACAGTCCTCGATTATTATTATTATTATTATTATTATTATTATTATTATTATTATTATTATTATTATTATTATTATTATTATTGTGTTTATGTGTCCCGTTTTCTATTGTTTTGTTAATACTAATAAATGCTTTATATTTACAAGGCAAACTTAGCTATTTTTCTTGGGTGTCCCACTTCGCTACCCTCAATTTTCATCCTTCACCACATCTGTTTCCCTCTTTAGCAACACCACCACCACTACCACCACCACCAGCACCACCAGCACCACCACCATCACCATCATCACCACCACCACCACTATTAACACTAGTACTAACATCACCGCGATCACCACCACCACTATCACGAACTCCACCATTACCCGCCATCTCTCCACCACTACCTACCATCTCTCCACCACTACCTACCATCTCACCACCACTACCTACCATCTCTCCACCACTACCTACCATCTCACCACCACTACCTACCATCTCACCACAACTAACCTTCGCTTGTATTTCACAGACCCAACGCGTGCGTAGTTGAGGAACTGCCACAGACAGATGGGCTAGAGTTCTGGACAGAGTGTCGCTTCTGGCAGACCCGGAAGATCTGCGGACGCAAAACGTGAGTACACCTTTCGCTGAGTCCATTAGTCCCTGAGTACAGCACTGGTCTTAGTTCATAAGTCCCTGAGTACAGCACTGGTCTTAGTTCATAAGTCCCTGAGTACAGCACTGGTCTTAGCCCATAAGTCCCTGAGTACAGCACTGGTCTTAGTCCATAAGTCCCTGAGTACAGCACTGGTCTTAGTCCATAAGTCCCTGAGTACAGCACTGGTCTTAGTCCGTAAGTCCCTGAGTACAGCACTGGTCTTAGTTCATAAGTCCCTGAGTATAGCACTGGTCTTAGTCCATAAGCCCCTGAGTACAGCACTGGTCTGAGTCCAAGAGGCCACCTGAAGCCAGCACCGGTCTAAATGGGGATAATTGGTCTAAAGTACCTTCACGATGGGGGTCAAAAAATAGTCGCAAATGCGATATAATGCTATACTGACAACGTTTCGCCCACTGTATGGGCGAAACGTTTAGTCAGTTAAGCCTTTTATTGCATTTGCGTTACTTTTTCCACTGGCTTGGATCAGACAAGACCAAGACCGATTAAAACTGATGAATACCTGACTTATCTCCTGCCTCGACACATGAGTGTGTGAGTCCAGTTATATCTGAATGAGTCATTTCGTGAGTTCCTGAGTCCACCACAGGTTTCAATTGCCCAGTTAGTGAGTCATGACTCAACTAATAATCAGACAAGATGACTTATGAGTTTAATCGTGTGCGGATGAGTCATTTCGTCAAGTCCCTGAGTCACCAGGCGTTTACGTGAGTCATTTCAAGGACATTATTATTATAATCAAGGGGGAAGCGCTAAACCCGGAGGATTATACACCGCCGGGGGGGGGGGGATGTGGAAGGCATTCAGGCTTAATTCGGGGAACTGGAGCACAGATCCAATTCCCTAAATCAAGAGCCCCTCACCAACATCAAGGAACCTTCCTTGAGGGGAGAATTTCAAGGACAGAACAATAAGACTACAAATGATACATTGGTTGTTGATAGACTGTTATTATTATTATTATTATTATTATTATTATTATTATTATTATTATTATTATTATTGTTGTTGTTGTTAAATATAATTAAAAATTGAAATAATTCTTTAGAATTCACGCTGTATTAAATACCGCTGTCTTAAAAACTATCAGTCAGGCATGCTGAGGTCCAGTCTTAGCTCCTGGGCCCACCTCTTGTGTGTGTGTTTGTAAGAGTGTGTGTTGTTACTAGTTGTCAAAAGGCACTTGCCGACAGACACTTGGCCTTTGTGTGTGTGTGTGTGTGTGTGTGTGTGTGTGTGTGTGTGTGTGTGTGTGTGTGTGTGTGTGTGTGTGTGTGTGTGTGTGTGTGTGCACAATCAACCAAAGCAACAGAGCAATAAACTCTGTAGAGCCTTTGATTCTCATGCATGCAACAGCAGCCTTGCAGCTCACAATGCAACACTAATCCCTCAATCTGTCTCCCGAATCCCCCCCTAACAGGAGGATTCGCTTCGAGTGTTGTGAGGGATTCGAACGGATTAGCGGAGAAGACGGATGCACGCGAGGTGAGTCCCGCCGACTGACAGTCGTTCTAAACTTTAAGTTAATCCACTTATCAGGCTGGTGTGTTGCAAAGCTTTCATGCAACAGCAATACACACTAATGAGAATATAAGATATATAAGACTATGTTTGCAAGCAGTTGCAATCTAACGTTGGTAATCAACTGCTAAAACATGACACAAAGCCTAGCCTTGACCCTAATCTTGAGCATATAAGACGCAGGCTGTTTTTTCCAAGACTTTCTTTGTGGGAAAAAGGCGCGCCTTATATGCCAGAAAATACGGTATATATATATATATATATATATATATATATATATATATATATATATAATATATATATATATATATATATATATATATATATATATATATATATATATATATATATATATATATATATATATATATATATATATATATATATATATATATATATATAAATGAAAGGGGGTAAGGCAGCCGGGATTGATGGGATAAAGATAGAAATGGTAAAAGCAGGTGGGGATATAGTTTTGGAGTGGTTGGTGCAATTATTTAATAAATGTATGGAAGAGGGTAAGGTACCTAGGGATTGGCAGAGAGCATGCATAGTTCCTTTGTATAAAGGCAAAGGGGATAAAAGAGAGTGCAAAAATTATAGGGGGATAAGTCTGTTGAGTATACCTGGTAAAGTGTATGGTAGAGTTATTATTGAAAGAATTAAGAGTAAGACGGAGAATAGGATAGCAGATGAACAAGGAGGCTTTAGGAAAGGTAGGGGGTGTGGACCAGGTGTTTACAGTGAAACATATAAGTGAACAGTATTTAGATAAGGCTAAAGAGGTCTTTGTGGCATTTATGGATTTGGAAAAGGCGTATGACAGGGTGGATAGGGGGGCAATGTGGCAGATGTTGCAGGTGTATGGTGTAGGAGGTAGGTTACTGAAAACAGTGAAGAGTTTTTACGAGGATAGTGAGGCTCAAGTTAGAGTACATAGGAAAGAGGGAAATTATTTCCCAGTAAAAGTAGGCCTTAGACAGGGATGTGTGATGTCACCGTGGTTGTTTAATATATTTATAGATGGGGTTGTAAGAGAAGTAAATGCGAGGGTCTTGGCAAGAGGCGTGGAGTTAAAAGATAAAGAATCACACATAAAGTGGGAGTTGTCACAGTTGCTCTTTGCTGATGACACTGTGCTTTTGGGAGATTCTGAAGAGAAGTTGCAGAGAATGGTGGATGAATTTGGTAGGGTATGCAAAAGAAGAAAATTAAAAGTGAATACAGGAAAGAGTAAGGTTATGAGAATAACAAAAAGATTAGGTGATGAAAGATTGGATATCAGATTGGAGGGAGAGAGTATGGAGGAGGTGAATGTATTCAGATATTTGGGAGTGGACGTGTCAGCGGATGGGTCTATGAAAGATGAGGTGAATCATAGAATTGATGAGGGGAAAAGGGTGAGTGGTGCACTTAGGAGTCTGTGGAGACAAAGAACTTTGTCCTTGGAGGCAAAGAGGAGAATGTATGAGAGTATAGTTTTACCAACGCTCTTATATGGGTGTGAAGCATGGGTGATGAATGTTGCAGCGAGGAGAAGGCTGGAGGCAGTGGAGATGTCATGTCTGAGGGCAATGTGTGGTGTGAATATAATGCAGAGAATTCGTAGTTTGGAAGTTAGGAGGAGGTGCGGGATTACCAAAACTGTTGTCCAGAGGGCTGAGGAAGGGTTGTTGAGGTGGTTCGGACATGTAGAGAGAATGGAGCAAAACAGAATGACTTCAAGAGTGTATCAGTCTGTAGTGGAAGGAAGGCGGGATAGGGGTCGGCCTAGGAAAGGTTGGAGGGAGGGGGTAAAGGAGTTTTTGTGAGCGAGGGGCTTGGACTTCCAGCAGGCATGCGTGAGCGTGTTTGATAGGAGTGAATGGAGACAAATGGCTTTTAATACTTAACGTGCTGTTGGAGTGTGAGCAAAGTAACATTTATGAAGGGGTTCAGGGAAACCGGCAGGCCGGACTTGAGTCCTGGAGATGGGAAGTACAGTGTCTGCACTCTGAAGGAGGGGTGTTAATGTTGCAGTTTAAAAATTGTAGTGTAAAGCACCCTTCTGGCAAGACAGTGATGGAGTGAATGATGGTGAAAGTTTTTCTTTTTCGGGCCACCCTGCCTTGGTGGGAATCGGCCAGTGTGATAATAAAATATATATATATATATATAATATATATATATATATATATATATATATATATATATATATATATATATATATATATATATATATATATATATATATATATATACTGTATACAGTATATAGAAAACAACCACGGGAGAAGTAGTTAAATGATAGCTATAGGCCTTTCATGTTACAATCAACACATTATTTCTGAAGTTATTGAAAAGCCTCTAATGAACCGGTTTCTGAAATCAGATGCTCCTTATTTAAAGACAGAACAAGAAACCTCCGTTTCCAATTACACTATTCTTGAATACAAGATCATACAGTGGAAATAAAACATCATTAATCTCGTTGTATTTTCTTGATACAGTAAAGCCTTTGATGAATTTGTTGGAGACAGCGGAGAGCTTAGGGGCCACTAAATGGGCCCAGTATATCAGAGATTCAGGTCTCGCTGGAGAGCTGGAAGCTGCGGCTGCCTACACTCTCTTCGCACCCACCAATGAAGCCTTCGATGTACGTATTCTGGGAGTGTTGACGCTCCTGTCGGAACCCTGGTGTGTTTGTGTTATTTTGATGTATACGAAGGGGTCAGTTTGAGAGCGAAAGACGAGATGTTTGGTTGCTATGTGAGTTTGTGGGACTTTTAAGGGTTTTTGCGTGTGTGTGTGTGTGTACTCACCTAATTCATCTGATTGTGGTTGCAGGGGTCGAGACTCAGCTCCTGGCCCCGCTTCTTCACTCAACGCTATTAGGTTCTCTCTCTCCCTGCTCCATGAGCTTTATTATACCTCGTGTGTGTGTGTGTGTGTGTGTGTGTGTGTGTGTGTGTGTGTGTGTGTGTGTGAGAGAGAGAGAGAGAGAGAGGGCTATTTTGATGACTCTTTGCTCTCCCACAGGGTGAGTGCCACTGCCCCATAAACTCATCTCTCCCTTCAAATTATATGAAGTTTTCAAAGTTATTTAAGAGACGGAACGTAGTCGACACACCTCGTCAACCTCACAACATCCTCCCTACCCCACAGAACCTCCGCAAATCCCTGAAAAAACCCCAGATAAAGAAAGAATTAAACCTCCATAACCCCTTTCCCACCTTCCCCACAGCTTAAAAAAGATTCAGAATAAGCTAGTCAATCCTCAACATTCTCCTTCTCCCTGTCTCCTCTACAGAAGCTGCGACGGTCACTAAGAAGTCAGATGGACTCCTACCATGGCAACCCCAACAACCCCATCCTACTGTACCACATCCTGCCCAGGAAGTTACTAAGTGAAGAGTTCCAGTCTAACACTATGGCTGAGACCAGACACCAAGGTCACAACATTAGGATCAACAAGTACTCGAATGGGGTCAGTCACCTGCTGCATAAGTCACCTGCTGTATAAGTCACCTGCTGTATAAGTCACCTGCTGTACAAGTCACCTGTTGTATAAGTCACTTGCTGCATAAGTCACCTGTCGTATAAGTCACTTGGTGTATAAGTCACCTGTCGTACAAGTCACTTGCTGTATAAGTCACCTGTCGTACAAGTCACTTGCTGTTTAAGTCACCTGTCGTATAAGTCACTTGCTGTATAAGTCACCTGTTGTATACATTTCCTTGCTGTATTAAACACAGAACATGTGTTCCGTTTTAATGCATACAGTGAAAAAAAATGTGGGAAATATATGTTTTATTAAACAGTGGTTTAACATCACTTGTTACATTTCACGGTTTATAACAGTTTTATAATGGATTACGTTGGGTTTATGTTGGGCAGTTTTTCAGGGCGCATATTAATTAATAATAATAAAAAGATAATTTCGAAATATGGACAATAGGTTTATGTCTAAGTCTGGTTTAACGTGATGGTTTATGAACAAGGATATTAATACTTCTATGGAAATCTCACTACCAGAAAAAAATGTGAGGTTAGGACCCGATTATTCTGTGATTATCTTTAAGGAACAAAGAAGTATAATACCATGACTGGAACAATACACGAATAACCCACAATTAGGAGACAGAACCTTACGACGACGTTTCGGTCTGACTTAGACCATTTACAGGCTTGTAAATGGTCTAAGTTGGACCGAAACGTCGTCATAAGCCTCTCTCTTCTATGCGTGGGTTGTGTACTGAGTTTCTTTAGGTTAGGTTAGGTTAGGTTAAGTTAAGTTAGGTTAGATTAGTTTAGGTTAGGTTAGGTTAGGTTAGGTTAAGTTAGGTTTGGTTAGGTTAGGTTAGGTAAGGTTCGTCAGGAAACAGGACAAGTGTTTCCTGACGTGGGTCGTGGATGATGACCCGCCGTTTGAGCTTTTGGTCATTTGACCGAGGCCTTCCACTGGCTTACTCCACCACCCTCTTAAAAATTATGGTTACAGTTATAAGCATATAGTTGATTTTCTTCAGCTAAGGAAACCTTGCTATTCTTTAATTAATAAATATGTGTCTTCAGCAATTTACCTCCTATTCAAGAATATCTTGATATGAACAATGTTCTCGCCTCCTTCCTTCACAGATGACGACCATCAACTGTGCTTTGCTAATACGTAAGGATCAGCACGCTACTAACGGCGTTGTTCACCTCATCAACAACATCCTGGATCCTTCTGTAGGCATCCTGCAGAACGTGGCCGATATGGTCTTGAATGTGAGTGGTCTTTCGTCTCATCTTCACCTGCTGGGATAGTTATAAACACATCCATTTGTTGTCTCTCTTGCTTCTGTACTGGTACCGAATAGGGTCGATTTTTTTTCATCTGGATGCTATGGTATCATGTGAAGTATATTCCTTTCTGTACATCAAAGGAAGGTTAGCATGGGCCCCACTCTGAGGCCCAGGCTAACTTCCCTATGTTATATAGAACTGTGCCTACTTGGATGAATCTTAATAGTGTCAGGTGGCCGAGTGGTTAACGCACTGGCCTGCAAATTTTAAAACTCACTTTTGCCATGGGTTCAAGCCCAAACCGTTCCCTGATTTGTTTACAATCATGCTATTGCAATTTTATGTGTCATGATTGTATCTAGGACGCACCAGCGTGGGTACTCACGTCTCTTCCTTCTCCTCCTCCTCCTCGCAGGACGGCAGGTTCTCGGTCCTAGCAGAGATCCTGGAGAAGAGTGGGTACATCAACGTCCTACGAACAATGCAGAACGCCATCACCATTCTTGCGCCTTCAGACGAGGCATTCCAAAAACTGCCGGAATCCAGGAGGGAAAAGATCATTAACGACAGGGAAGCCAGACTTGGTTAGTCAACAAGATTGTTTTTCTTTTTTATCCGTGACGTGGAGCACCTTACCTGGCATACTTGACACTTGTTTCCATAAAATTCTTACACTCTCACTGGTCTAATTTACACAAAGGATTTATGAATGTTCTCTGTCTGTCCTTAAGTATATTCCTTCCTTCATATTCACAATAAATAAATTGGCTAAACCAATTCTAAATTTTCTACCCCTATTTTCACTCATCTCCACTGCATTCCCTATTTTTCTGCCTACCATTTCACCCATTATTCTTCATATTCATGTCTTGGGCTTTCCTCGTAATGAATCCCATTCTTCCTTGTTCCAATTATGAACTTCCTACCTCAATTTCTACATGATCAAGGTATTTTTTTTTGTCTGAATAAATAAACAACTGCTTTTTATCTTTTCCGCAGCTCTAATCCAGAACCACGTCATCCCTCACGTCATCTGTGAGTCTGCCATCACTGGGGAACACAGAGTTAAAACAGTCTCGGACAACAAGCTCACCTTCAACTGTGACATCGAGGGAGCCTTCGTGGAGACTTCGAAGCTCAGAGGCAACTACAATCTGGGCAAGAATGGCATCATTCACATGATTGATGACGTTCTTCTGCCCGATCGAGGTAAGTTAGTAGCTCCCTATAAGCAGTAAATGGGCATTGGGAACCATTATACAGTGGGTCGATATCGCTATTGGAAACAGAGAGGTGTTTGATGCCACTTTAAATATTTCTAAGCAGGTCAGTATTCAACGTCTTTGCAAACACATAGGTGTTTGATTATTTTGTAAACAGGCAGGTGTTTAATTTCAATAAAAGTATTTGAATCTAATGCAAACAAACAAGCCCAATGCCTTTGTAAACACATGTTTCATGCTTTTGTAAACAGATAGGTGTTTGACGACTTTGCAAACACTCATCCCCTCTCCCTTACTCTTCCTCTCTCTCACACTCACTTTCCTCTCTCTCCTCCACAGCCAAGAACTTGATAGAGCTGGCAGAGAGTCGTCACTTGTACACCTTCGTGGACCTGGTGAAGAAGGCGGGGCTGGAGGAGACATTGAGTCACACTGGAGATTACACCTTCTTCGTTCCTGATGAAGCTGCCTGGTATGGTAGGTGTTGGGACGAGGTAGTGGTTGTAGTTGTGGTGGTGGCAGTGGTGTTAGTAGTGGTAGTGATGGTGGTGGTGGTGGTGGGCCAAAATATCGTATACATGTGTCATAACCAACATGTGATCATGTGTCATAACCAACATGTGATCATGTGTCATAACCAACATATGATCACGTGTCTCAGCCAACATGTGTCCTAAGTCAAGCAACTCAGTACTTCAGCGAAGGTGCAGAAGAAATTTTAAACGTTGTCTCAGTCAGTTTCGGACTTTTATCATGTCACAATTGAGGACGGGAGTAAAAAAAGGGAAAGTCAGTAGACAGATCAGGTGACAGGTCAGTATACAGGTCAGGTGATAGGTCAGGTGAACAGGAGAGGAGAAACTCTAGGGAAGGTGAAGTCTTGTGTGTCCTCAAGATTTACAAAATGTGGCAATATACTGGGAGATTAAGTTAGGTGAGGTTTGTCTGGAAACAGGACAAGTATTTCCTGACGTGGGTCTTAGCCATATGATGACCCACAGCTGGAGCTTTTGGTCATCTGACCGAGGCCTTCAGCTGGCTTACAGTCTCACTGGGAGTGGCAGCCATCGTTAAGAATCTTATATATGAGGCCATATTTAATAAGATGGTGTCTGTGAAGGCCAGAAGAGGTATTTCATGACTAATTTCCTTCCATTTCCCCAGCACTGGACTCTGATGTATTGAATGATGCTAGAAGGGATCTGGATCTAGCGGGACAGCTGGTACGATTCCATGGAGCCTATGGTCGCCATCTGACCAACACTATCACTGATAACCAGGTGAGAAAGAGGGACAGAGAGGGAGAAAGTTAGAAGAAAAGAGAAACAGAGAGAGAGAAAGAGATGGAGACAAATGAGCTGATGTAGGTAACAGCTCTTAGCTTGTCAATAAAGCTAGGGATCCTTAACCTTGTCAAACCCTGTGTACAAAAAGAGAGAGAGAGAGAGAGAGAGAGAGAGAGAGAGAGAGAATTCCCCACTTCTTACACAATTTATTAGTCATGACATAATCATGTTCCCATGAGAAGAGTAATAACAATACTTTACCTTACAGGCCATCATGTCCCTTAACGAGGAGGACCCCGTCCGTCTTCAGGTGTGGCGCCGAGCACTAGGCGTAGAAGACGCTAAGATCACAGAGAAAGACATCGAGGCTCAGAATGGAGTCATCCACATCATCAACAAGGTCATCATGCCTTCCAACCAGTCTGTCAGTGACATTCTCAGGTCCATCCCAGACCATACCTTCAAGTGAGTGCATCATGAGTTCAAGTATTTAGTGACACACTACAAGTCTAAATTGTGGCTACCTACCTGGAGTCTACCTGGAGGTCGTTCCCGGGGGTCAATGCCCCCCTTGGCCAAGTCCTTGATCAGGCCTCTCAGATCTATATAATAGTTTATGTACTAGGCTGGAAATGCCTAGCCATGCTAAGCGTTCTAGTGGTACACTCTGTAATCACTATTTTACAACATGTAAACCACACAATAACCAAATTTCTGTAAACTCAGCATTGTAATCCTTATAGAGAATAAACTTTGAATTTGAATTGAATTTGAATAGCTATATTTTATCAAACAAAACCATCACACAGGATGGCTTCAGGGCAATTTTCCCTCACAAACGATGGTCGTCCTGTCATAATCCATCCCAGTCTGAGCTTCATTTCAATAAGGAAGTGAAAACATCACCAAACATCCCTCTATGTTTTCGTGAAATACACAAGGAACTGGTGAAAGACATCCTTGCCACTCTCTATGTAATTTCTTTTATTTTATTAAAGATTAGCCGGTATTATCCCGGCCCGGGCCTTTTCCAAGTGGTGGCCCGGCCTTGGCTCCCTCTTTAGGGAGTGTCTGAGACCTAAGTCTCCCATGGGAGGAGGCACAAGTACCTCCTCATCTTTGGGACCAACTGTCCCCAGGCCTAGCCGCAAGCTAGGCCTCTCTGGTCTGCCATCCCCGCCCCAATGGAGCAAATGGGAATGACAGTCTTATGAGCTAAAGGCTCGGACTCAGGCACCTACCCTACCCTAGAAGGGTTAGGCATGGTGTCGATCTATGTAGTTTCTTACATGTAGCTGTAAAAATGATGTTGCAATCGTGGTATCCTGCCTTTGGCTAAATATATATGTATATGCTTTTAAAATTTCTGATGGTTTTGGTGCATATTATTTTCTGTCTCATTAAATTTTTCCCATCTAACATTTTGTTTAGAGAAAAATATCCAATATTTCTTTTACTTGTTTTATTTGTTATTCAAAGCTAAGATACTCTTGTTCTTCTAAATGCTTTCAAAAATAAACCCTCTTTGTCTAATTTTTGACAGCCTTTTCTAAATTTAAATGCAATTGTATGTATCTGTCACATCTTTCACTGTGTGTTCCTGAGTAGTTAAACATTTATTACTCTTTTATTTAGTAAATATCTCTGTTATTTGACTGCCTGTAGTTCTCTTTGAATCCTGTCTGTGTTTACAAGATGGAGGATCCAGCCTGTATCACTCCTTGTGATGAATGAACTATTGCACTTTCTTGTATGTTTTTCTCCATTTGCAGCACATTCTTGGAGGCAATAGAGAGTGTCACCTCAGATGGAAGCACCATGTTGAGTCTGGGTCCTGGAGATGAGACCTTTTACACCTTCTTCGTACCCACTGACACCGCCTTCAGAGCCTTGAATCAGGTGAGACAGGAGCCTCCTTCTGCAGGTCCTCCTTCTACAGGTCTTCCTTCTGCAGGTACTTTATGTTTGGGCAGTTCTTCTGTGGGTACTTCTGCAGGTAATTCATATGTAGGTGCTGCTTCAGGTGGTCAATCAAATACTCTTTTTGTTGCTATGCTAATAGATAATTCCTCTATTAGCGGGAAGTGAGGTAAACTTAACTATTCGCTCTTCTTTTTTTTTTTTTTTTAATTTTTGGTCCGTTTTTAAAAAAATCAATTTTTTTCCTGCATTTTCTTTAGAACATACTGCATATTTTTCTTGCAAATTTCTGCATTTGAATTAATATTTAAGAGAAAAAACTCATTGATTTTCCTTTTTACCAGATAACCACAAGATATCCTATGAGCTTAGGTGACCGTAGTTCCCTTGTGAATATCTCATTGGAGTGAATAAGCACACCTTTCCCCACTGCAGAAAAGCCTGTTTATCAGCCCTCACTACCCTATCTTCCAGTTTCTGCTAACATAATTCTAAGCTCAGTCTTCGGCTTCCTGCAGGAGACACGAGCGAGGATCAAGTCTGACCCAGTGTACGTGAAGGAGGTCGTGAAGAATCATGTTGCTGTCAATATGTTTCCTGCTACCTCCTTCGAGAAGAACCTCATCTACACTATCAACGGCATGGCAGGGCCATTCGATGTGAAGAAGACCGGAAACAACATTCTCAAGGTCAGTATTTACCCCAAAAGGGGGAATTTGGTATCACGAAGGTCACTGCAGTATTCCAAAGTTCAATACGTTGTCCTGAAGACCAGTATGATTATCTTGAAGGTCAGTTTTATATATTATTTTTAATTTGTTGATTTTGGGTTAAACTCTAATCAGTATATTTTGATTTGTGTTTTTTTGTAAGAGAATGCACATGTATTAGTAACAAGTAATTTGAATAATACTGCTAACATTGATCAGAATGGAGATTATCTCAATAAAACTATAGCAGTTAATTCAGTTCAAAAGAAGTTAATCCCAACCCACACTTCGGTCCTCCCTTGGTTGTCCTTCCCCTGAGTACCCATGCCCCAGGGCTCCCCAGGGTGCCCATACTTCAGGCTTCCCCATGGAGGCCTACACCCTGGACCATTCCCTGGGTGACTGGTGTCTCCACACAGCTGTGTCTTAACTGCGAGATTCCTATTTCCCCCTGTGGCTTATAGCCTCTGTCTCTTCAGTCTGTAGTGTAACAATTACTGTTTCTGAAGTGCAGACCTCAGTGAGGTACTTTGAAATTGTCAGGAGAGTCTTCCAGGTTGAATTATCATTAATAACAACTGTCAACTGAGTCTCAGACTTCAGTCCTGTAAGTTCTTTAGGAAACTTAATTTCAACACAAAAGGTCAGATATATCTTGTGTGCAATTCTTAATCATTTTTCTGGACACTCATCTAAGAATAGTAATTCCTGTGGGCTACTGAGTAAACGAAAAACCTTTACAGGCCTAGATTTAACATAGGCTTTCTGCATCTAGTAAGTGTATGCTGTAGGGAATGAGGGAGTGTTTGGCTGAAATCTTAGTGTTTATTTAAGGCATTTTTGCATACACACTTCTACACATTAGCAGCATTACATTTATGGCCCATCTAAGGCAATATTTTGATCTAAATATTTTGGTTCACAGGTAAATGGTGAGGAAGTCCTGAGCACCCACATGAGTGCCAATGGTGTCATCCACGTAATTGATAAAGTCTTCCTGCCCGGGAACTCTTACACATATTCTACCATCAGAAGGGTCACCACAACTGTCTACAAGGATGGAAAAGCAGTAACAGGTACTGGGATGTCCTCAACTTCCTCCAGGAGGCCTTCACGTAAACCTTACAGGAAAACAGTGACATTTGCTGAGACTAATGATGGTGGGGAAGTCAACAGGAGCCACCTGCCTGCCTACCCACAAGGTACTGTGTTTTCTGCTAGTGCCTCCAAGAGGAAAACTTCACGAGAGATGTCGAGAAGGAAGAATCCAAATTCTCCTTCCTCCTCCACATCCTCTTCCTCTTCTTCAACCACTACTAGCACACCCTCCTTCCCAAACGACGCAAGGAGTAACCCTGCTTCCAGCAGTGGCAGAACGGCCTTTCAGGAGACTCATGTCCAGGGGACTGGAGCCTCAGTACTTGAATCACCAGTTTCAGTTGACTCACTCAGTAGTGCTTCAGTGAGTGGCCGAGACTCAAATGACGTCTTTGAGCCTACAGAGCCAGGTCTTAGGGACACCCATGGCTCATCTGTCTCTAAAGTCTTTCAGAGTAGGCCATCAGCAAGTAACAGAGATCCAAGGCCCATTGAGCCAGGTCACAGGGACACCCATGGTTCATCCTCTGTCTCAAAAGATCCACAGCATAGACTATCAGCAAGTAACAGAGATCCATATAATATTCCAGAGCCCACTGAACCTGGTCTGAGGGACACCCATGGTTCATCCTCTGTCTCAAAAGATCCACAGCATAGACTATCAGCAAGTAACAGAGATCCATATAATATTCCAGAGCCCACTGAACCTGGTCTGAGGGACACCCATGGTTCATCCTCTGTCTCAAAAGACCCACAGCATAGACTATCAGCAAGTAACAGAGATCCATATAATATTCCAGAGCCCACTGAACCCGGTCTGAGGGACACCCATGGTTCATCCTCTGTCTTAAAGGTGTCCCAGAGGAAGCCATCACTGAGTGGAAGAGATCGGTATATTCCAGAGCCCATTGAACCTGGTCTTGGGGAGACCTTTGATTCCTCTTTTGCCTCAAAAGTCTCTCAGAGAAGGCCATCAGGAAGTAACAGAGATATGTATGTCACAGAGCCCACTGAACCTGGTCTTAGGGATACCTACGATTCCTCTGTCTCAAAAGTCTCTCAGAATAGACCATCACCAAGTAATAGAGAACCCTATTTCCCAGAACCCATTGAACCAGGTCTCAGGGATACCTATGGCTCTTCTTCTATATCTGAAGTCTCTCAGAGTAGGCCATCAATAAGTGGAAGAGAGCGATATGTCCCAGAACCTACTGAACCTGGCCTTAGGGGCACCTATGATTCTTCCATCTCAAAAACCTCTCAGAATAGACCATCAATAAGTGGAAGAGACCAATATGTCCCAGAACCTACTGAGCCTGGCCTCAGGGACACCTATGGTTCTTCTTCCATCTCAGAAACCTCTCAGAGTAGGCCATCAGTAAGTGGAAGAGACCAATATGTCCCAGAACCTACTGAGCCTGGCCTCAGGGACACCTATGGTTCTTCTTCCATCTCAGAAACCTCTCAGAGTAGGCCATCAGTAAGTGGAAGAGACCAGTATGTTCCAGAACCTACTGAACCAGGTCTAACAGACAGATATAGTTCATCAAATTCGTCTCAAAGATTCAAAGATACAAAGATACACAATACAAACGTTCCTATCAGGAAGCCTGACAGAAGGACCGAAGGCTCATATGCTGTACGAGAAGGATCCTACTCATCTCCCTCATATAAGCCTTCCTCCTCCTCCTCCTCCTCCTCCTCTTCATCTCTAGCAACCTCCTTGGCATCAAATACCCAAGTCACCCGCGGTGAGGTGGACGATATTCATGGACCTCGTAGGGGTGACTCTTCTCACCCTGTCAGGTCTTCCTCCACCACTGACTTGCATGCTGCTACACTGCCCTCCTCCTCTTCCTCCTCATCCTCTGCTGGAACCTACAACCTCTCGGCTACTAGGACGAGGCAAGAGGGTTCAAGCACCCTAGAGAATGATAGACGCAGTTCCCCTGATGTCAACCTCCCAGCAGGCTCTGCTTCCAGCACAAGACACTCTACCAGAGTGACTGCATCACGCACACCCCTTTCCCCAAAAGAGCCAGATTACTCACGTGGATCTGGATATTCAGGTAGATCAGGCTCCCCAGGTGAGCCAGGTCAGACAAGTGAGCCAGACCACTCAGGTAGATCAAGCTTCCAAGGTGAGCCAGGACATGCAGGTAGATCAGTCTATACTGGAAGGTCAGGTTCCCCAGGTGAGCCAGATCATTCAGGTAGATCAGGCTCCCCTGATGAATCAGGTCAATCAGGTAGATCAGGCCATTCAGGAAGGTCAGGTGAGTCAGATCATTCAAGTAGATCAGACCATTCAGGAAGGTCTGGTGAGTCAGGTCAATCAAGTAGATCAGACCCTTCAGGAAGGTCAGGTGAGCCAGGTCATTTAGGTAGATCAGGCCATTCAGGAAGGTCAGATGAACTAGGTCATCCAGGTGAGCCAGGTCATTTAGGCAGATCAGACCATTTAGGAAGGTCAGGTTCTCCAGGTGAGTCAGCTCATTCAGATAGATCAGACTATGCAGGAAGGTCAGGTTCCCCAGGTGAGTCAGCTCATTCAGGTAGATCAGATCATTCAGTAAGGTCAGGTTTCCCAGGTGAGCCAAGTCATCTAGGTAGATCAGATCAGTCAGGGAGGTCAGGTTCCCCAGGTGAGTCAGGTCAATCAGGTAGATCAGGCCATTCAGGAAGGTCAGGTGAGTCAGGTCATTCAAGTAGATCAGACCCTTCAGGAAAGTCAGGTGAGTCAGGTCATTTAGGTAGATCAGGCTATTCAGGAAGGTCAGGTGAACCAGGTCATCCAGGTGAGCCAGGTCATTTAGGTAGATCAGACCATTTAGGAAGGTCAGGTTCTCCAGGTGAGTCAGCTCATTCAGACAGATCAGACTATTCAGGAAGGTCAGGTTCTCCAGGTGAGTCAGCTCATTCAGGTAGATCAGATCATTCAGGAAGGTCAGGTTTCCCAGATGAGCCAAGTCATCTAGGTAGATCAGATCATTCAGGAAGGTCAGGTTCCCCAGGTGAGTCAAGTCATCTAGGTAGATCAGATCATTCAGTAAGGTCAGGTTTCCCAGGTGAGTCAAGTCATCTAGGTAGATCAGATCATTCAGTAAGGTCAGGTTCCCCAGGTGAGTCAAGTCATCTAGGTAGATCAGATCATACAGGAAGGTCAGGTTCCCCAGGTGAATCAAGTCATCTAGGTAGATCAGATCATTCAGGAAGGTCAGGTTCCCCAGGTGAGTCAAGTCATCTTGGTAGATCAGATCATACAGGAAGGTCAGGTTCCCCAGGTGAATCAAGTCATCTAGGTAGATCAGATCATTCAGGAAGGTCAGGTTCCCCAGGTGAGTCAAATCATCTAGGTAAATCAGACAATTCTGTAAGGTCAGGTTTCCCAGGTGAGTCAAGTCATCTGGGTAGATCAGATCATTCAGTAAGGTCAGGTTTCCCAGGTGAGCCAAGTCATCTGGGTAGATCAGATCATTCTGGCCAGTCTGGTTACTCCAGAGGCATTGTCTCTGGCCACCCCATTGACTCTAGCTTGGGTACTGGGTATGTTAGCGGCTCTGAACACCTTAATGGTTCTGAACACTCTAGTGGGTCTGGATACTCGAGAGGATCTGGATACTCAAGAGGATCTGGATACTCAAGAGGATCTGGATATCCTGGAGACATAGGAGAGGGTCGTGGCTTCTCCTCCTCACGGAGATACTCCTACAATTACTCCACCAGTCTGGGAGGCCTACAGCCTGGAGGACACAAGGACCTCTCACCCAGTAACTACGGCCTGGGCATATTCACGACTGACTCTTCCTCGCAGCGCCCAAACTCTATCGGCAAAGTCAATCTTAATGGGGGAAAGTTTAGCTATGTGGGGCATCCTTATGGCCAGGATGTGGTGGGACATACAGACACGGTGGTGGAGAGGGACAGGCCAGTACCACTTCCCTTTACCGTAGCAGGAGAAAACCGTAGGTCTCTGGAAGGTGGTGTCGGGGGTGATGGAAGGATTGGCAGCAGAAGACACGAGTACAGTTACTCCCGCGTTGAAGAGAGAGTGCCAGTGAGCAGTAGTGACATAAATAGTGAGGTTCTGAGGAGCAGCGCTAGGAGCACGACAACTAGGAGCAGCACTAGTCAGAGAAGGTACGGTGTGACCCGCACAGTGGTGACCACTTCTGGTACACAGTTACCCATCATTCGCCACCCCCTGCACACATCAGTAACCCAGCTACCCCTTATTCACCACCAGCTTCACACATATCCACTAGATGGTGGGCCGGACCACTCACCAAGCCGAGGTGATAAAGATGGCTCATCATCCCTTCCAGCTTACGTCTTCACAGACGACAACAACATTAACTCCAATGGCTCCGGGTTTGCTGAGACCGAAACAGGTGGCGAGGCAAACGTCAGCCGCAAGAAGACTGCAACAAAGAGTCGCCGCTGGCGCCGCAAGCGGCACCACAATCGAGGTGGGAAGAGGCGCCGTGGCCGCAAGGGAGGGAAACGCAAGGGAGCTACCCCTCAGTAATGTACCATTTTAGAGGGGTCTGGTTTCCCCTCTCCCAGCAGCGGGAGGGAAAGAACTGAGGACCAGTTCACTACCTGTATAAATCACTGCCTACCTTACCCTCTCCTTTCCCTATTTACCTCTCTCACTGCCTGTGTGAATCTCTGCTGCCTACTTCTAATCTATCTTCCACTCCATGCCGCAAAACATTACTTACCAAAAATTAACATGCAATAGTATTGCCAATCAACAACAGCTACTTATACATATGTTTGTTGCATATTTGTTTATAAGTGTGTATGACTGCAGAAAAATATTATTATTATTATTATTAATTATTATTATTATTATTATTATTATTATTATTATTATTATTATTATTATGTTCCTGGGGAAGTGCTAAACCCATAGGGGTGACACAGCGCCTCGGGAATGGGAGGAAATCATCTTTCATCCAAGGAAGGGAAGAGTAGCTTCATTCCCGTGGATCAAGAGCCTTTCACTGGATCGTGCCTGAGACCAGCACCTAGTGATGTAGTGTGTAATCTTTCTATAAATGTTTTTTTTTTTTAAAAACAGCCCTGCCATGTAAACTTTATAACTTGAATAAAACACTGAAACACGACCCGTCACCCTTGTGTTCTTCTCCTTGTGTTGCTGGAGTGTTTTCCGGGCGCCGGAATGCAGGGCTCGATACGGCTTACGGTGTCAGTGGCCCTATAAACCAACAACAACAACATTAGGTTTGAAACCTGTGGACTACTCCAAGGCCATTAAGGGGCACGTCTGTTTCCCTGTCTTGTAACAATGCTATTTTTCCCCTGTAATCTACCTTGTCCATAATTACTATCGCATTTCTGTATGTATGTAAGATCTGAGTATGTTATGCATGCAAGATCTGTGTATGTATGCAAGATCTTACATACATACATACTCAGATGGTACATACACAGACCTTAAATACATACACAGATCTTACATACATACACAGATCTTACATACATACATACACAGATCTTACATGCATACATACATAGAGCTTACATACATACATACACAGGTCTTACATACATACACAGATCTTACATACATACACATATCTTTCAAACATACACAAATCTTACAAACATACACAGATCTTACATACATATTCTCATGCAAATAAATGAATAGTACACTGTAATTAGAGTAAATTTATTTTTTTAGCCAATAACAAGTGAATAAATGGCTCAGTCATACCCAAAAAAATTGTCAACAATATTTCTGAAAAAAAATGCGAAATAATTTGGAATTATTTTCAGTAACCATAAATTTCAGAAATTCTTAAGAGACTGGCAGAATTTTTCACTTCTCTCACTGTTGACACGGTGTAGATAACCGGGAAATTTTTTTACTGCTCTCACTGTTGACACGGTGTAGATACCATGGATTTTTTTTCACTGTCATCACTGTTGACACGGTGTAGATATCCAGGATATTTTTTTTTTCACTGCTGACATGGTGTATATTTTTCACTGCTGATACGGTCCATCACTGCTACTATGGCAGCGGGAATTAAGTGGAGATTTTCACTGTTGTCGCTGTGGAGACATTAGGGTTGGCCTCCACTGAAGGGCCCCTGTTTCCCTTGATTCCCTTGTGGCCCCTGGGCCCTGGGGGGCCTTGCACGTCCTCTCCAGGGGCCCCCGTCTCTCCTCTGTCTCCCTGGCAGTCACACGACTGTGAGACGGGGAGAGACAAGTGAAACATAATTAGGGATGATAGTAAGAAATAATGACAGTGGCAGTGACAGATAACAGTGAGTGTAAATGACAGTGGCTGTAAATCACCTATTTACAGTTTTGAACTAATTGTTTTAATGGTTAATTAAGAGTCATCAAGGATCACTAAGGCTGCATGTTACTTGTTAACCACCAATCAAAAATACTTTAATACCCAAAATAGTGATTAATGCTAACTACCAGATAGATAATTAGATAAACAAAACTAAAACATGCCATTGGTCAAAATAGAGGGATGTGCAGGCGACTCAAAAGCCCAGAGGGACAGTTAAGAAAAGAAATAAAAAAGGGAATAAGAAAAAAAAAATAGAGGATTCGAAGACTAACCCAAAAGGATTCTTTCAGGTATACAGAAGTAATATTAGGGACAAGATAGGCCCACTCAAAGGTCGTTTAGGTCAACTCACCGACAGTAATAAAGAAATGTGTAGAATTTTCAACACTTAACTCCTTTCACTTTTTACGCAGGGACATACTAGTGTAATTCCAGAAATAATAAACAATGTTGAACCAAACAATAATAAGTTGTTGTTATTATTATTATTATTATGGCCCGGTGGTCTGGTGGCTAAAGCTCCCGCTTCACACACGGAGGGCCCGGGTTCGATTCCCGGCGGGTGGAAATTCCGACACGTTTCCTTACACCTATTGTCCTGTTCACCTAGCAGCAAATAGGTACCTGGGTGTTAGTCGACTGGTGTGGGTCGCATCCTGGGGGACAAGATTAAGGACCCCAATGGAAATAAGTTAGACAGTCCTCGATGACGCACTGACTTTCTTGGGTTATCCTGGGTGGCTAACCCTCCGGGGTTAAAAATCCGAACAAAATCTTATCTTATCTTATCTTATCTTACCCCTCGGTGTCCAGGAGAACCAGTTAAGCCCTTGATGCCCGGAGGTCCAACAGGCCCACTAGCGGGGGAGGTTTGGGAAACTTTCCCACACTCTCCTTCTTCCCCTTTACTCCCCAGGGGTCCCTTTACTCCTGGCGGCCCTTTCTGGCCCTTGGGTCCTGGTGGACCACTGAAGTCTATTTCTGAAGTGGAGACAAGAAATGGTGGTCATTATTGTAGTTGTTGTTCTTTCTGCAATTAATTATTATTATTATTATTATTATTATTATTATTATTATTATTATTATTATTATTTCTCCTACTATTAGTACTACTACTACTAATAATAACACTATTGTTACTACTACTACTGTTACTGCTACATAAATACATGCAAACACTACACACACACACACACACACACACACACACACACACACACACACACACACACACACACACTCACACACACACACACACACACACACACACACACACACACACACACACTCACACACACACACACACACACACACACACACACACACACACACACACACACACACTCACACACACACACACACACACCTACAATCACATAAACACACGGACAAACACTTAAAACACCTACAAACAACACAAATAACTCACCTCTGAACTTAATATTAAGATTCTTGATGTCAACACCATACCGCTTCACTCTTTCTTGCACGCTGCTTAAGGATTCCAGTTTAACTCTCAGTGCTTCCAGACGTCGTTCCAGATCTGCTGGCTGGAATCTGCAGGGAGGACGTGGAGGGCGGGCCTGGAATGATGCCACGCCCAGTGATATATTAAATTGTATGTATGTATGAATTAATACACACACACACACACACAAACACACACACAAACACACACACACACACACACACACACAATTGGAAGTTGAAGACACAAATGAGTCAGAGAGATAGTAGGAAGTATTTCTTCAGTCATAGAGTTGTAAGGCAGTGGAATAGCCTAGAAAATGACGTAGTGGAGGCAGGAACCATACACAGTTTTAAGACGAGGTTTGATAAAGCTCATGGATCGGGGAGAGAGAGGGCCTAGTAGCAACCGGTGAAGAGGCGGGGCCAGGAGCTAGGACTCGACCCCTGCAACCACAAATAGGTGAGTACAAATAGGTGAGTACACACACACACACACACACACACACACACACACACACACACACACACACACACACACACACACACACAATATATATATATTATATATATATATATATATATATATATATATATATATATATATATATATATATATATATATATATATATATATATATATATATATATATATTGACTGATTGAAAAATTCGTATTCCTGCTCACTTGTGTCTCAACATTTCTCACCTGTGGACCTGTGGGTCAATATTTCTCACCTTGCAGCATCCAGTGCTGTTCCGAGCAGCCTCGATCACTCTTAACAGCTCTTCCCTGGATGGACAACAGTCTAGACAAGGGGGCCGTGGAATGGGCCAGTTCTCATGGCACGTTCCAGGAGGCCCTGGAACTCCTGGGGGTCCCTGAGCTCCTATCCCAGGGCGTCCAGGAGGGCCCGGTGTCCCAGGGTCCCTCCTTCCCCTGGCTCCTTCGTCTCCCACGGGGCCCCTTGGACATGTTGGACATGTTGAGTGACTGCAACCGGGTGGACAGGGTTGGCCTGGATAACAAGGTGGACATGGGGTTGGTGGACATCCAGGAGGACATGTGTAGCCAGGATAACAGGGTGGACACGGGGTTGGTGGACATCCAGAAGGACATGAGTGGCCAGGATAACAGGGTGGACATGGGGTTGGTGAACATCCAGAAGGACATGCGTGGCCAGGATAACAGGATGGACATGGGGTTATTGGACATCCAGGAGGACATGCGTCTCCAGGGTAGCAAGGCGGACATGGGGTTTGGCAACCAGGGGGACATGGGCTTCCCGGGTAGCAGGGAGGACACGGGGTGGGTGAACACGTCGGTGGACATTGCTCTCCAGGATAGCAGGTTGGACACGGGGTGACTGGACATGTAGAAGGGCACTTTTCCCCAGGGTAGCAGGTTGGACACGGGGTTCGTGGACATGGGTCCGGGCAGGGTTCACCTGGGTAGCATTTTGGACATGGCGTCACGGGACACGAGCCTGGACATGTCTGCCTGGTGTAACAGATTGGACACGGGGTCTGGGGACATCCCACTGGACATCGAAACCCCGGATAGCATTCTGGACATGACGTTTCTGGACATCCAGGAGGACAGCGACTCCCTGGGAAACAGTGTGGACATGGCGTTCTTGGACATCCTGTAGGACATGCTGTTCCTGGGTAACACAGTGGACATGGTTTGACTGGACATCCAGTTGGACATGGTTGTCCTGGGTAACAGTCTGGACATGGGGTAGCTGGACATCCACTTGGGCATTTCTCCCCGGGGTAGCAGTGTGGACATGGGGTTTTAGGGCATCCCTGTGGACACCGATCTCTGGGATAGCAGGTTGGACATGGCGTCGTTGGACATCCGGATGGACATATCTCCCCTGGGTAGCAAGAGGGACATGGTGTCCTTGGACATGCAGCAGGACAGATCTCCCCCGGGTAACAATTCGGACATGGGGTTTCCGGACACTGAGATGGGCACTTCTCCCCAGGATAGCATTTAGGACACGGGGTTTGCGGACATCCTGCTGGACAGCGATCGCCCGGATAGCAGGCAGGACATGGAGTCGGTTGACACGCTGGTGGACATGGCTCACCCGGGTAGCAATTTGGACATGGGGTTGGACGGCAACCAGGGGGACATATTTCCCCCGGGTAGCAAGGTGGACATTGCCCAGGTGGACATGGGGGTGGACAGAATTCCCCTGGGTAACATTGTGGACACGGAGTCTGTGGACACCCTCTTGGACATGATTGCCTTGGATAACATTTAGGACACGGCGTCGATGGACATCCTTCCGGACATCGGTCTCCCGGATAACAAGGTGGACATGGAGTAAATGGACATCCGAATGGACATCTTGTCCCAGGATAACATGGAGGACATGTCTCTCGTGGACATTCGGGTGGACACTGGGAACCAGGTGGACACGCAGGACAAGGCGTCGTTGGACATCCCTCAGGACATGGAGCACCTGGGTAGCAGACAGGACACGTTCTCGGACATCCGATTGGACATGGCTCATTTACACGGCAAATAGGACACGGGGTGATAGGACATCCTGGAGGACATGGCGAGCCTGGATAACAGGTAGGACACGGGGTGAGAGGGCATCCTCGAGGACATGGCGAGCCTGGATAACAGAGAGGACACGGTATTGTAGGACATCCTTGCGGACACGGAGACCCTGGATAGCATGTGGGACATGGTGTAGATGGACACCCAATGGGACATGCGGTTCCAGGATAACAAGGTGGGCAAGGTCTTGTTGGACATCCTGGTGGACATCTGGTGCCAGGATAACACAATGGACATGGTGTCGGCAGACATCCCTCTGGGCATACCATTCCAGGATAACAAGGGGGACATGGGGTAGCTGGACATCCATCAGGGCACGCCTGTCCAGGATAACACGGGGGACACGGGGTAGCTGGACATCCTACAGGACACTGTTTCCCAGGATAACACGGGGGACATGGGGCAGCTGGACATCCTTCAGGACACGTCATTCCAGGATAACACGGGGGACACGGGGTAGCTGGACATCCAATAGGACACGGCTTTCCAGGATAACATGGGGGACACGGGGTACGTGGACATCCTGGAGGACATATACCTCCTGGGTAGCAAGGAGGGCAAGGAGTCTGTGGGCATCCAGGAGGGCAGGGGCCTCCAGGAAAGCAGTATGGACAAGGTCTGGGCTGAGGGCAATAGGGGCAAGGGAGCTGCGGCTGAAGGTTGTTAGCAGATGGGCATCCAGGAGGGCAATTGACTCCAGGAGTGCATACAGGGCAAGTGGCTTGCCTCTTTGCAAAAGTCTTCTCGTTGAGGACGGAGAGAATCGCATCCAGAGATTCCCTGTGGGCGGATCTCTTCCAGCTTCCAGGAGAGAGAGAAGAATTAACCCTCCGGAGAACAGCTGGATACACAGCATCCAGGTAGGGAGAGAAGAGGTCATCCGCCAGGCCTTCCAGAACCGCTAGTTCCGGATCACTGAATGAATCCAGGAAGGATGGCGCCGCTGGAAGAATGAAAACGAAGAGGATGGCTGGACTCCAGAACCACAACCACACCAGCTGCCACATTGCTGGAACGTCAAGTTGGCTGATCTGGAACGTATGAGACGACTTCATTGACTGGAATATGGGAAGGTAAGGCACAATATAAATAATATATGTGTTTATATGTTTTTCCTGTTGGAAGACTGGAATTCTTATCAACCTGCCTGGAAAAGATATAATCACTTTCCATAATAATTTGAATTAGAAGACTGATCAATTTTCGTAGAAACTTATACGTTTGCTGGATATGAAGACTGTACACAGCTGGTGGGTCACAAAGACTGTACACAGCTGGTGGGTCACTAAGACTGTACACATCTGGTGGGTCACTAAGACTGTACACAGTTGGTGGGTCACTAAGACTGTACACAGTTGGTGGGTCACTAAGACTGTACACAGCTGGTGGGTCCCCTAAGACTGTACACAGCTGGTGGGTCACTAAGACTGTACACAGCTGGTGGGTCACTAAGACTGTACACAGCTGGTGGGTCACTAAGACTGTACACAGTTGGTGGGTCACTAAGACTGTACACAGCTGGTAGGTCACTAATACTGTACACAGCTGGTGGGCCACTAAGACTGTACGCAGATGGTGGGTCACCACCAACTGAACACAGCTGGTGGGTCACTAAGACTGTACACAGCTGGTGGGTCACTAAGACTGTACACAGTTGGTGGATCACTAAGACTGTACACAGCTGGTGGGTCACTAAGACTATACACAGTTGGTGGGTCACTAAGACTGTACACAGCTGGTGGGTCACTAAGACTGTACACAGTTGGTGGGTCACTAAGACTGTACACAGCTGGTGGGTCACTAAGACTGTACACAGTTGGTGGGTCACTAAGACTGTACACAGATGGTGGGTCACTAAGACTGTACACAGCTGGTGGGTCACTAAGACTGTACACAGTTGGTGGGTCACTAAGACTGTACACAGCTGGTGGGACACTAAGACTGTACACAGATGGTGGGTCACTAAGACTGTACACAGCTGGTGGGTCACTAAGACTGTACACAGCTGGTGGGTCACTAAGACTGTACACAGCTGGTGGGTCACTAAGACTGTACACAGCTGGAGGGTCACTAAGACTGTACACAGCTGGTGGGTCACTAATACTGTACACAGTTGGTGGGTCACTAAGACTGTACACAGTTGGTGGGTCACTAAGACTGTACACAGTTGGTGGGTCACTAAGACTGTTCGCAGCTGGTGGGTCACTAAGACTGTACACAGTTGGTGGGTCACTAAGACTGTACACAGTTGGTGGGTCACTAAGACTGTACACAGCTGGTGGGTCACTAAGACTGTACACAGCTGGTGGGTCACTAAGACTGTACACAGTTGGTGGGTCACTAAGACTGTACACAGTTGGTGGGTCACTAAGACTGTTCGCAGCTGGTGGGTCACTAAGACTGTACACAGTTGGTGGGTCACTAAGACTGTACACAGTTGGTGGGTCACTAAGACTAACAACACCAAAATACGTTTATATATATATATATATATATATATATATGTATACGCAGTTTGTTACTTGATATATTCCAAGGAAATACACATCTTGGTGTGTGTGTATGGTGTTGTATATAGTGTTGTATATAGTGTTGTATATGGTGTTGTATATAGTGTTGTATATAGTGTTGTATATAGTGTTGTATATAGTGTTGTATATAGTGTTGTATATAGTGTTGTATATAGTGTTGTATATGGTGTTGTATATAGTGTGTATATAGTGTTGTATATAGTGTTGTATATAGTGTTGTATATGGTGTTGTATTATAGTTGTATATAGTGTTGTATATAGTGTTGTATATAGTGTTGTATATGGTGTTGTATATAGTGTTGTATATAGTGTTGTATATAGTGTTGTATATAGTGTTGTATATGGTGTTGTATATAGTGTTGTATATAGTGTTGTATATGGTGTTGTATATGGTGTTGTATATAGTGTTGTATATAGTGTTGTATATAGTGTTGTATATGGTGTTGTATATGGTGTTGTATATGGTGTTGTATATAGTGTTGTATATAGTGTTGTATATGGTGTTGTATATGGTGTTGTATATAGTGTTGTATATAGTGTTGTATATAGTGTTGTTATAGTGTTGTATATAGTGTTGTATATGGTGTTGTATATAGTGTTGTATATAGTGTTGTATATAGTGTTGTATATAGTGTTGTATATAGTGTTGTATATAGTGTTGTATATGGTCTTGTATATAGTTTTGTATATAGTGTTGTATATAGTGTTGTATATGGTGTTGTATATAGTGTTGTATATAGTGTTGTATATAGTGTTGTATATAGTGTTGTATATGGTGCTGTATATAGTGTTGTATATAAATGTTGTATATAGTGTTGTATATAGTGTTGTATATGGTGTTGTATATGGTGTTGTATATAGTGTTGTATATAGTGTTGTATATAGTGTTGTATATGGTGTTGTATATGGTGTTGTATATAGTGTTGTATATAGTGTTGTATATAGTGTTGTATATAGTGTTGTATATAGTGTTGTATATGGTGTTGTATATAGTGTTGTATATTTGTGTTGTATATAGTGTTGTATATAGTGTTGTATATAGTGTTGTATATAGTGTTGTTATAGTGTTGTATATGGTGTTGTATATAGTGTTGTATATAGTGTTGTATATAGTGTTGTATATAGTGTTGTATATAGTGTTGTTATATAGTGTTGTATTAGTGTTGTATATAGTGTTGTTATGGTGTTGTATATAGTGTTGTTATAGGTTGTATATAGTGTTGTATATAGTGTTGTATATAGTGTTGTATATAGTGTTGTATATAGTGTTGTATATAGTGTTGTATATAGTGTTGTATATGGTGTTGTATATAGTGTTGTATATAGTGTTGTATATAGTGTTGTATATAGTGTTGTATATAGTGTTGTATATAGTTTGTATATAGTGTTGTATATAGTGTGTATATGTGTTGTATATAGTGTTGTATATAGTGTTGTATATAGTGTTGTATATGGTGTTGTATATAGTGTTGTATATAGTGTTGTATATATAGTGTTGTATATAGTGTTGTATATGGTGCTGTATATAGTGTTGTATATGGTGTTGTATGTAGTGTTGTATATAGTGTTGTATATAGTGTTGTATATAGTGTTGTGTTGTAATGGTATTGTAACCTAATATGAGTGTTCATACCAGAAGTTAACATTAATAATAATACTGATATCGTCATGAAATTTGTGTCAGAAATATAAATACTCTGTTGTATTACTACAGTATCAATACACTGTTGTATTACTACAGTATCAATACACTGTTGTATTACTACAGTATCAATACACTGTTGTATTACTACAGTATCAATACACTGTTGTATTACAACAGTATCAATACACTGTTGTATTACAACAGTATCAATACACTGTTGTATTACTACAGTATCAATACACTGTTGTATTACTACAGTATCAATACACTGTTGTATTACTACAGTATCAATACACTGTTGTATTACAACAGTATCAATACACTGTTGTATTACAACAGTATCAAATCACTGTTGTATTACTACAGTATCAATACACTGTTGTATTACTACAGTATCAATACACTGTTGTATTACTACAGTATCAATACACTGTTGTATTACTACAGTATCAATACACTGTTGTATTACTACAGTATCAATACACTGTTGTATTACTACAGTATCAATACACTGTTGTATTACTACAGTATGAATACACTGTTGTATTACTACAGTATCAATACACTGTTGTATTACTACAGTATGAATACACTGTTGTATTACTACAGTATCAATACACTGTTGTATTACTACAGTATCAATACACTGTTGTATTACTACAGTATAAATACACTGTTGTATTACTACAGTATGAATACACTGTTGTATTACTACAGTATCAATACACTGTTGTATTACTACAGTATGAATACACTGTTGTATTACTACAGTATCAATACACTGTTGTATTTCTACAGTATGAATACACTGTTGTATTACTACAGTATCAATACACTCTTGTATTACTACAGTATGAATACACTGTTGTATTACTACAGTATGAATACACTGTTGTATTACTACAGTATCAATACACTGTTGTATTACTACAGTATCAATACACTGTTGTATTACTACAGTATGAATACACTGTTGTATTACTACAGTATCAATACACTGTTGTATTACTACAGTATGAATACACTGTTGTATTACTACAGTATGAATACACTGTTGTATTACTACAGTATGAATACACTGTTGTATTACTACAGTATCAATAAAACTGTTGTATTACTACAGTATCAATACACTGTTGTATTACTACAGTATCAATACACTGTTGTATTATACAGTATGAATTCACTGTTGTATTACTACAGTATCAATACACTGTTGTATTACTACAGTATGAATACACTGTTGTATTACTACAGTATCAATACACTGTTGTATTACTACAGTATGAATACACTGTTGTATTACTACAGTATCAATACACTGTTGTATTACTACAGTATGAATACACTGTTGTATTACTACAGTATCAATACACTGTTGTATTACTACAGTATCAATACACTGTTGTATTACTACAGTATGAAATACACTGTTGTATTACTACAGTATCAATACACTGTTGTATTACTACAGTATGAATACACTGTTGTATTACTACAGTATCAATACACTGTTGTATTACTACAGTATCATACACTGTTGTATTACTACAGTATGAATACACTGTTGTATTACTACAGTATCAATACACTGTTGTATTACTTACAGTAATGAATACACTGTTGTATTACTACAGTATCAATACACTGTTGTATTACTACAGTATCAATACACTGTTGTATTACTACAGTATCAATACACTGTTGTATTACTACAGTATCAATACACTGTTGTATTACAACAGTATCAATACACTGTTGTATTACTACAGTATCAATACACTGTTGTATTACTACAGTATCAATACACTGCTACATTACTACAGTATAAATACACTGCTACATTACTACAGTA